ACTACATTTGTAAAAATCAATGTAATTGTAATTGCAAGTAATTGACAAAATTATCAATGTATTTGAAAGTAATTAATTACATTTCAAAGTAAATGAACCCAACCCTGCCCCAGGGGTAGGGTGGGGCCACAATGGAGGATCAAAGTTTTACATAGGAGTAATTATAGGAAAAATCTTCAAAAAATCTTCTTCTCAAGAACAGCCAAGCTATGATTGGTCATATTTACATGGAAGCATCCTCAAATAGTGTAGTTTAAAGTTTGTTCAAATCATGACCCCCCGTGGGTAGGGTGGGGCCACAATGAAAGTTCAAACTTAAAGGAAAAAAGTCACAGTTAGTCAAAATAATATGTAAGCATCCTTAGGTAGTGTAGATTCAATTAGTTCAAATCATACCCCTTCCCCTCTCCCTTTTAGGGTTAGGTCGGGACCACTTACGCATTTAGACTTTTCAATACTAAACTGATTTTTGCTTTTTTCCTAGCCACATGCAGTGCTCAGGTGAGTTATGTGGCCCCTGTCCCTTTTGTTTTAGAAGGCAGTTTAATACAATTGTTTTTAATAAATACCTAAATGATATATTTAACGAGAACAGGAGAGCCATAATTACTCAGGTGAGCATTGTGGCCAAAATGCTCACCTGAGTAGCTCAGGTGAGCTTAAAAAGAAGGGTAAATCATGGTTTTTATATGTTTTTTCAGCATTTTGTACCTACTACATTATAAGGTAAATGATAGATGGATTTGTTATATGAATAACAAATTTCATTTATTGAATTGAATTGAAAACAAATTAAATATTACATAGAATTACATATGTATGATAGGGTGAATACAGGAAAAATGAATCAAGCTCGATTTTGGATCCCTAAAAATGGCAGATTAAGTATTCGGAGGCATGAGTCCTCTATTATATTCATTTATTAACAGTAATCATTAATTAGCACATCTTTACTGTGCCAAAGCTGTTTAATTAGGAAGCCTGCTTTTTAAAGTACATATAAAGTATTTTTCAACTACATGGTTGTGTGATAGTTTTACAAATCCCATTTGCAGCATTATTCATTGTATTTTTCATAATGAAGAACAATGCTCAAGCCTTATCATTATGTTTATTCTTAGACTGTAAAACTGTCATCTTAGTGAGTCAAGACACTCTGCAATTTGTTACTTAAATATAAAAAAATATTATATTATACAAAATGAAATTAATTTTAAAAATTTATATCAAATTAATTTTACAAGAGGCCCATGGGCCACAACACTCACCTGAGTAACTCTGGCCATGATGTTCTTCCATACCTGCCAACCAAAATTGGTGCTGTGGGGGGTCATGACCCAACATTCAGAAATGAAATGTTGGGTGATAGCGCGCGACAACATTTTTTAAGGGAGGATAAGAAATATGTGCTGTTTTATTTCCTATTATTAATTTTATCACACACACAAAAATTTTGAATAAATTTACTCTTAAGATCATCAATTATTTAACACAGGCTTGTCTTCCATATTGTTAAATGTAAAACAAATTATGAGGGATACCTCCCATCCCAAACAAAAAATAAAATCGTTATAGTCATGATGAATTTTTGCAGTCTTGGCAGTGTCATGTGGGAATTCCCTTGTCATAACATATAACAAAGAAATACAATGTACAATATTACCTTTGGGAGAGGGGAGGGAGAAGAAATTCAGTGTACTTGACATGAGACTTTTTTGTTTCATCTTAATATCATCTTATTTTAACCTATAAACTTTACAATATTTTCAATATAAGCAGATAAAATCAGCCTATGCTTTGTAGTTTTCTACTTACATTTTTAAAAAATGATTCCAATTTTAATACTGTTTGTTTATCATGTCATTGTATTTAATTTCTGTTTTAATAAAATGATATTTAATTAACCCCTAAATCTATGTGTTTCACCGGTTTATTCCCCGAACGTTTACTCCCTAAAACAACTATTTAATTATCACACTCAATTAAGAGGCCCTCTAAGGGGTCCAGGTAGAGTTTACCTGTGTTACCTTGATTTAACAAAGTAGACAAAATTAAATGATTTAATATTTACTGATAAAATTGTGTACTAAAGCACATATTTATTGATTAAATACATGCTATTATTGAAGGCACAGAACAAATATTTTTTCATATATGTGTACATGTAATAAATATCTTTATTTAAAATACATTCAAATTCAAAAAAGAAACATAACTGTACAAGACATTTAAATTAACAAATAGCATGTTATGAATTATTTTCAAACAAACCTAACACTTGGCACTTAAAGCATCACTTACATCACATATTCACATTTTAAGCTTTGTTTAATCTAATTATTAAACATGGAGAACTTTTTACAAATCGCATTTGCAGGTACACAGAACGAAAAAGGGGGGGGGGGCATTTTTCTGAGCATAGACTTTTCCTGTAGTATAGTCTATTCCTCTAGATCTAATATGTAAATTTTCATTTAGATGCTGCCCCTCTTACTTTCTGTTGCTGTAAAGTTGAGTGCTGGCGAATTCCAGCACTTGAAAAAAAATCTACAAACAGTAAGTCCACCCCTCCTCACACATGAACACACAAAATAGGATTTTCAGGGGTTTTTTTTAAATTATTTTAATTTTACTTGTCAGATTTCTTTGGGAGGTTGCCCCTTCCCCCACTGTTTAAACCATAGCTACTTGTTTGGAAGCAATATCTAAAGTTAGCACCGTTTTATTTACATCAAATTCAGACATATGTTGTGTAGTTTTTGAAAGGGGGGTTGACAAATTATTTTATGATGCAAACTAACAAAAATTTTGAAATTATTTGTTGTTATAATATTTAGAATTAATGGTTCGAAACGGTGATTAAAACTAAATAAAATTAAAAGTATCTAAAGCAAAATTTATTTAACTCATTTAATAATATATATTGAATAGAAAAATTATATGATCTAGGGATTTTTCCTGTTTAAGAAAGAATGCTACCCACATGTTCACAGAAATTTTATCCAACCAATCTTTAAGATATCTCCTCTGAAATATGACTTAAATATGGAAAGATTGATATTAGTTTAAATTAATTTTTATGAATTTTGGGGGCTTTTTAAGGAGAAAATGAAAAGATTGTTTAATTGCAAATAAGATCCTTTAGAGTTTAAAAATAAAAAAAAATCTCAAGAAAAATCAGATAACCTTTTTTTTTATTTTTGGTAAAAAATTATTTATGAAAATAAAACACATTTTTTAAGCATTTTTTTTTAAACTAATGGATAAAATCTTCAAGATTTTTACATTTCCCCTGAAAAAAAAAATCATGTAAAACAATAAATATCTTTTATCAATCTTTCCATGTTGAAATCTTGTTTCCGAAGAAATGCCATAAAGATCCAAAAATTATTGTTGCTGTAGAATTCCTCCTTAAAAAAATACAGGTAAAGCTATTTCATAAATGATTGTAGACTCTACCTGTACCCCTTAGAGAGCCCCTTAATTGAGTGTGATAATTAGATGTTGGTTTAGTCCAGTAGATGTTCGGGGAACACACCGTTTCACCTTGCATATACCCCTTCAAACGGAAAAGTTTAATCCCCTAATTGCTCCAGACTATAAGTTACCTGTACCTGGACAGTTGTGTGCATTCAAGCGAGAAGTGATTTCCTGTGGCTAATTAACACCTTTGCATGCGTTAAATAAACAAAGATACTAATCTGTGTAAATTGAATAAACAAGTCTTATATTCTTATCCCAAATGACAAAACATGGCGGTAGTAAAAGTCTGAAAATCAGAAATTTTAGGGTGAATTTTTCAAATCGGGATTTTAAGGCAATTTTGCTTTGCTGGGTTAAAATATGGGGATGATCGATTTTGCGGGTGAAAACGATGACATGCCGTGGGTCATTATGAGTGGTGGGTGAGAGGTCAGTTTTGCGGGTGTGACCCACCGAATGCAGGTCACTTGGCAGGTATGGTTCTTCACCAGATTTTTGCCATTGTAATATTATTGTGGCCCCATCCTACCCCTGGGGGTAGAATCTACATTACCTCAGGAAGCTTTCACATAAGTTTCAACTTTTCTAGCCCAGTGGTTCATGAGAAAACATTTTTAAAGATTTTTCCCATATAATTCAATGAAAAACTTTGATTCCCTATGTGGCCCCACCCTATCCCCAGGGGCCATAATTTGAACAATTTAGAATCTACAGACCAGAGAGCTTCAACATTTTCAGCTTTTGTGGCCCCATCTACCCCTGGGGGCCATGATTTGAACAATTTAAAATCTGCACTACCTCAGGAGGCTTCCACATAAGTTTCATCTTTTCTGGCCCATTGTTTCTTGAAAAGATTTTTTAAAGATTTAAAGATCCATTATATTTCAATGTTAAACCTTGATTCCCATTGTGGCCCCAACCTACCCTGGGGGCCATGATTTGAAAAATTTTGAATCTACACCACCTCAGGAAGATTCCACATAAATTTCAGCTTTTCTTGCCCAGGGGTTCTTGAAAAGAAGATTTTTTATTGACCTCATTCTATTTTTGTCTTTTCTTCATTATCCCCCCTTGTATGGGGGCTTGGCCCTTCATTTTACAATTTAAACATCCCTTTACCCAAGTTTGGTTAAAATATTCACCAGTGATTCTTGAGAAGAAGTTGAAAATGAGAAACGTTTACAGATGGATGGATGGACAGACGGATGGACAGACGGAAGACAGACAACAGGTGATCAGAAAAGCTCTGAGCTTTCAGCTCAAGTGAGCTAAAAATGTTGAGTTTAAGTTTACAGAGGAGCGAACATATAGCTAGTCAAGATGCCCAATCTACAGACAGAAAGTGAAATGTGGCACCTGCAATTGCGAGGCAAAGAATTTTGAAAGTAACACATATACACATTGTAATATAAAAAATTCAACCTTAATGAAAAATGTTAATTCTTGTAATTAATAACACAACTAATTCATGTTATCCGAAAAAAAAACAACTTATTAAAACATTGTATAAATGTTACCTTTAAGTCTCTGTGCACTATATCTTTACTATGTATAAAATCCACAGCTTCTATCAACTGCCTCATTATAATCCTGAAACAGATACATCAAATATCCATTACAAATCTTCCCCAAATGGCTACTCTACTCCATTTTGGTGTCTTGGTCCTAAAAGCTTCATCAAACTAGCATATACTTTCTCTTTAAAGATGTACACATAATTTTTCAAATTTATTGTATTTTCATAATGGTGCAGATATAGCTGATATGACTCATATCTTATTTTAAAAAATGGCCATACACATTATTTTACAGTATCTTATTTAATATCTTATTTAACATAAAGTTTATATTTAAATTTCAACAAGATCTTAGAAAGTGCTTGAATTAAAATATATTGAATCATAATAGAAATATTTTAGAGAAATAAAATCAAATATGAGGTATAATTTTGTATTTTTGCAGTAAAGACATCTTCAAATTTTATCAGTCATTGGGGGTTGAAATTTTCCTGGAAAACCCACTAGCCCAGGGGCTACTGATCAGTAAAAAATTACTAGCCCAAACCTCAAACTAACTAGCCCAAATTTTTTTTATGTAAAATTAAAACATAACAAGTTAAACTAGTACTAACTGTAACAGAAGATTGTTACAGCTAGATGTTCCCTAAATGCTCCCACATGGCCTTAGGAACCGGGGGGGGGGGGGGGGGGGGGGGGGGGGGGGGGGGGGGGGGGGGGGGGGGGGTGCCCCCCATTAATTTTGCCGATATATAGACTACTATAGTAAACATAGATACTGTCTATATGCTTATGCCCCCTTAATAAAAATGCCTGATGACCTTTTTTTTTTTTTTTTTTTTGCTTGTCAGGAAATTTTTGGTAGTGCCCCCTCAACTGTCAACTGAAAATGTATGGCTGTGCCTCCTCAACTGTCAACTGAAAATGATGGCTGTGCCCCCCCCCCCCTTCAACTGGATTTGCTTCCTACGGGCCTGTCCCATACTCCCTTTTGTGTCCAATTCCTTATAGCTTCATTAATTAGGCAAAATCTTTGTATAACTATTTTTACTTTTACAACTTATTTTCCAAAGTGTTTTGGCGAAATAACGATCAATGCACAAATAGTGCATACTCATGCACATGATTTCAAAAACTTGCATATACATGGCCATGAGTGTCGACTGTCGAGTCAAATTGCATTTTCACTGTATATATTTCATTGGAAAACCAATTTTTATAAAAACTTATTGTGAGGTCAATTTTAGCCCAAATTCCATGATTTTTTCACTAAATCATGCAGAACTGTTCAAATTTTTTTCTTATGATGCTAAACAAAATGATACACTAATCATTGAGAATAATTTATAAAAACATCTAGACAAAAATTTCTAACCTCAAATTACTATGACTTATTTACAAAGAAGATGAGTGAACAATACGTGCAGAATGCCTATAGCTTCAGATATTAAAAAAAATTATATTCAATTTGTGAATGAAGTATTTAAAGTAAAGTTCTCATTATTGAAATTTATGAAATTATGATCAACAAAGCTTTTCTGAGAAAAAAATATCTCGAAAAAAAAATTCTTTTATTTAAAAAAATAAAACCGTAACGGTATTGGTGGGATTCGAATACCTAATAATAAAAATCTGGAGTATCATATTGCTTTGAGACTAACACGCTAACCACTACGCTAGTTCCTAGTATGCTAGTTACTACACAGCTCCTGATGAATAGTGGCATTTAAATCACGTTTGTGATATTACCCTTGACCTAATGGACTTGCAACATATTTCTGAGTATTTTCGGAAAGATGCAAATGCTTTGTCATAAAAGAGCACTTTTAAGGTACAGTGGGTCTTTGCTCCATGTTTTTGTAAACTAAAAAATGTATATTTTTATGCAAACTTTTAGGAATAACTTTCAAAAAAATGAAGGGAAGACCCACTCATATCAAAAAATTTTGTTAAAGTATGAGAAAACGATCCTTTTTGTCCTCTTTAGTGTGTGTATGCTATTTCGTTGGCAAATAAAATTTCAGTCTTTGTGAGATTTTTGTAAATTGTAGAGATTTTACATAAAGTATGCTTTAATGTTAGATGAAATATCAAAGAAAATTTCGATATAATTGAGATTTTATTTTTCCCTTCATATTTGTGGCACTACAGGCACTTCGCCCGCCTTGTTCACCCATCTTCTTAGAGTTGTAAAATTTTTAATTCGCATTTGACGTGTGATATCACTGCAGTGCCTTCAGATAAAATCATTTTGAAATTATATGGAGAAACTGCAAAAAATTCTACATTTTATGGTGTTTTAGTCATAAAAAATGATCAACAAATAACACTGCAATAATATTTTAGAACTAGATGAGATCTCGTTGCAAGCAACGAGTAGGTCTTCCGTTAGATTTCTGATAAAATCTTGATTAGGATATTTTGATTCATAAAAGAAAGTAAAACAACTTTAAATGTAAAAAATATTCATATCAATTCTTCAAAATTGTTTAGCAACTCATAAGAGTGAAATCTATCAATTTTAAACAACTTCGGGTCTTTTTTCTTCACTTCCAGTATGACCGGAAGTACTCAAAATGACTTTTAACTCCTCACTGAGTGTGGAGGAATCTTCCCTCAAAGTTTCGAGGAAAAATGAGCATTTCTTCGACTACTTCCGGTTCAGAAGAAATAACTTTCAGTGGAAATAATATGACTCAAAATAGTCTATTAGCCTCTATTAAAATCATTTCAATAAGAAAAAAATAAAAATTTGCATATTTTTAAACTACTTCCGGTGGACAACAAAAACTATACAGGTTTCTCATATCTACGAGTCACAATCTATCATCCCTGAAAGTTTCAAGACTCAATCTCTAACCGTTTTTGAGAACACTTGCAGACAAAATGCCATTTTAAAAATGGGAAATTGGCCATATCTCGCGACCGGAAGTGACGACAACAAAATGAAAAAAAAACGCATAAAGTTCAGATAATTTGCCATCATTGCTGAAAGTTTCATGAAAATCTATTGAGGCGTTCTCGAGAAATCGTCTGCACAAAATCGGTAAGAAAAAAAAATAATAATAATAATAGTGGAAAAGAAACAACAGAATCAGTAGAAAGTCTTCCGTTGGAAACGGAAGACCTTAAAAATGCATGTTTAATGAAATATATAGTGAAAAAATAAAATTAAGACTAACTTATGGCCAAGTACAGTACATCATCTCAATACATTTGAGATTTCAAAGAATTTCACTGAAAACCGAGAAAGTTCAAGCTTTGTCTTCTTTCATTAAAATCTAAGAAAGATATACTTACAATCTTAGCCAATCAGATTTCAGCAGGTGTGCTTGCGAGCATTTTCTTCATTACTCACATATATATTCTTATAGTGCTTATATCATATGCCAATGTCTTAAATTTCAAAGAATTATATTAAATAGTAAGGCAGACTGATAAAGTATTAGCCAATCAGATTTCAGCACACTTGCATGCATGTCCTTGCATTCAATTTTGATAGTAGCATAATGTAGGAATTCATTAAACCTATCTATATCCTAAATTTGATTCTGTTTTGTTGAAAACTAGAGAAGTTATAGCCATTTAAAGTTACAGCCAATCAAATTTCAGAATATGTGGATGTGCATTTTTCAAGAATTTCTGTAGAAAACATATTGTAGAACCTTATAATATATACCTTTCTCTTAAATTTCAAAGGATTTTGTCCAAAAAACCAAGGAAGATATTGCGATTTTTGTTTCAGCTAATCAGAGTGAAGCACATGTGCATGTGTGTGAATTCATGCTAATTTGACCATGTTGACCATGTCTTGTCTACACTACAATTATATCTTTATGTTTCGAGTTTCAAAGCATTTCATCAAAAAATATAGAAGTTATGGCTATATTGAGTATATCAGTCATTTCACTCACTGCATGCACACGCACGTGCATGCATGTGCATGCAAAATGACCTTCCATTTCTTCTCAATCTGTAGTTTCTGAGAACACTTGCGGACAAAAAAGTGCCGTAGAAGAAATTTTGAAAAGAAAGTAAAAACTAGAAAATCTGCTATTGCAAGCAATACCATATGTCACCTCTCACTAAACCATAAGCTGTACTAAGATTGTAAAATGGTTAAAGAAGTGAGTATTAGTAGACACCACCCCCCTTTCACACACAAGTTTTACAAGGTAGTGCCTAGAAGAAAATTTTATTTGAGAGATCAGATTGGTGTAAAATAGAACTTCTCTGATATCCTAGGATAACAAGGGGATCTTCCATAGAAGACACTCTGAAGACCTTAAATTAAAGAGAGCAAGATTCACTTCAAAACATATGTAACAGGAAGGGAGAAAGTGTATGGCTGGACCGGGAATCGAACCCCGGACTCCTGCATCACTAGTCAGGTGCTCTACCGACTGAGCTACCCAGGCCAATATCCACGGCCCAAACCCATTACACATAATTCCTGAATTTTCCTTCTCAAATCAGACATTTTTATTTTTTACATAGGAAAGAGACTAATTTTTTTTTTATGAGATGATAAACTATGTGTAAATTTTCTTAGTTTTGCAGAATCATGAACGTACATTCCCGGCATGCTAAACAGTAGTGATGAGGCCATCACACACGTGCTGGAGTGGATCCCAGTTCAAATTCATAAAAATGTTATGAAATTAAATTTTAATGATTCTAACTATCACTGAATGAAATTATTCACTTGCAAGTAATATATTAACAAGAAATTTTGAAATGCTAATGAATACAGCTGACAATCACTACTTTTTAAAGATAATTTAATTGTAAATAAAATTATTATCAATTCTGTAGACAAAACAGAAAAAGACTGAATGCTGCCAAAATATCAGATCACATCAATGGAACTGAATTTTATTCATGAAACTCTTAAGATCTCCTTCCATTGTAAATCTTATATATCTGTGTATTGACCTAGCTGTCTCTAAGGGGGGGGGGGGGGGGGGGGGGGGTAAAGTATGACATGGTCTTTATATTTGAAAAGAGGGAAATAAAAATGCGCCACCAGATTTATACCATATACTACCCTTTTTATTTAATAGAAACTTGTTTCTATGGCATTAAGAAGGTTTTCCGTCTCCTCTCTGTCACCAGAGAAGTTTTAACTCTACACTTCGTTCTATGTGTATTGCTGTGCTACAGTTCCCGTAAACTACTTAAAAGAAAATAAACAGTTTGTAGTAAATATCGCCACCAAGAAATATATCCGCACATGTACAACTGTAGGTGTTGACCATTATTTCTGTTAAGTTTCATAACTAAAAGATTTTCTAAGCCCCCTGTGAGAACGCTTCAGGACGAAAGCAAGGTGAGTAAAAAAAAAGTTGTCCCAACTTCCTCCCGCTGACCATCAATTCCATTTTATGCAGAAACCACTGTGATACATTGAAGGGATTAAACCAAATAAGTTTTCAAAATTTTGCTTTGGTAGTTACTGAGAAAAATGAAAATTAAAAAAAAAAAACCTTTTTCCTGTTTCTATGGCAACAGTAGGCCTTAGAAATTAGAAATTTTTAAATGTTGACTGAACAAATAGAGTGTCTAGTCATAATTTCTGTAAATTTTCATCACAATTGTCCAAGCCACCTCGGAAAACATTTGTGCGTATATTAACTTTTTCTGTTTCTTTCATTCCTAAGGCAACGTTTTGCAAAAGATTCTAATTTTTAGCTCACCTCAATGAAGTTGGGATGAGCTTATGCTATACCCCTGGCATCAGAGTTAGCATAGGCATCCCTGTTAAAGTTTCAGGAGCAAGTCCATTCCCAAGTAACTATAAGCCCTACTTGGACCAAACTTGCATGGATGATGCATCTAGGGATGTACACTAACCAACTTGCTTCCGATGCTGGATCCGACCTAGATTTTCCACATGAATGAATTTTAGTAATATTTTAACCAAATTAGCATGGATGATGTATCTAGGGATGGACACTTCCAGACTTGTTTTGGATTCAGGATCTGACCTACATTTTCCAGATGAGTGACCAGGGTAATGTTTTTGGAGTAGCTATATAATATTATGGCCTCAGTGTTATGATTAAACTTGCAAAGATGGTGCATCTAAGGATGAAAACTTTCAGACTTGCTTTGGATGTTATAATTGACCAACATTTTCTTGATTAGTAAACAGGTTAAAAGTTTTTTGAGCAGGTCTATTTCCAAGTGACTATAAGTCCTACTTAAACCAAACTTGCATGGATATTGATGTTTGACCCCATTTTTTTTTAGGCCTTTATGGTAAGTGAAAATGAATGTTTTAAACTAGAAACTTTATTTTGTATCAATATGTGAGGTGAGATTGTACATTAGCAAAAAAAAAAAAAAAAAAAAAATCCCGATCTATCAACCCTTGATTTATTGGGAATATTACAGGAAACAAACATAATTTTTTTAAAGCCTAATTTATATTAGCATTCTGATTCTGCTCATTAATATTTGTTGCTTGTTTTCTTTGTTTGATAAAATACTGGAAGACAGCTTTTGACATTCCAAAAATGTCTGGTTTACATTTCATAATACAAAAGCACAACTTCTGTTATCTTAACAAATTTCAAACAATTGCACATTTTTGTTTCATTTGATATTTTGTTCGGGTGACCTGAAATTCATTCGGGCAACCTGAAATCAGTACCAAGGTTGCCCAAATGACGAGACCAAATTTTGACGAGTGTCAAACCCTGAATTCAGATATACAGGTCTTTTTAGCGTTCCGTACTTCAATTTCTTTCCCTTAAGGTTTCTTCAATTGGAACATGGTCGTAGGAACGGGGGGGGGGGGGGGGGGGGGGGCCCAATAATTCTGCCAATATATAGAATTAGAAAACATAGCTACTATATGCTAGTGCCCCCTCGATCGATAAAAATGTTTGATGACTTTTTTTTTATGGTGCCCCCAACTGAATATGTGGCTGCCCCCCTCCCCCCAACTGAAATTGCTTCCTACGGGCCTGTGGAAGTATGCATTTGTGCACTTTAACCAAACAGTTTATTCTTCTAAAGATATGATGAACTGGTGTTTTTCAAATAACAATCAAGTATGTAAGTTTCCTATATATCTTTATCATAAAATGCCAGGATTTTAATTACCCATTTGAAAATGATTTGACCATTGATAGCATGAATGTAAATGATTAGTATAACTCTTTACATTGACCGTAATTACGATAACTTGAAACATCCATGCACTCATATACTTGGCCTGCAAAATGGGGGTGTGGCCTGAGGTCTATGAGAAATGGATGTAAACAACGTACCCCTGCTATTATTAATCAGACAAATACTTAATTACAGTGCATGGAAGTAAAAATTAAAATTGAAATAAATAAGCTACAATGTTTGGTGGAACGATTGAGGCAAAAATATGTAGAAAATCTTTAATTGAATTTTTTGTAAATTATCGGGGGGCCAAATGTGGAGTTTAAAAGATTCATTCTTTAACTACAGTGTAGTTCTCATTCAAAAGAAACCAGTCTACATAGAAAAATGAACTGATGAGAATTTTTTTTCCCGTTCTGCTAGTCCAACGGACTATCATCACATTTAAATTAGCTAGCCCGAGTCTTAAAATGACTAGCCCCAGGCGTCAAACTATTTCAACCCTTGGTCATTATACGTTTTGAATAATTTTCATCCCATAACTGGACCAAAGTCTGAATCTAACTTAAGGGAAATCATAAATTGCATGTTCAACCAAAATTTGGCTAAAGATTTAGATTAACAAGACTTTGTGTTCATCAAAAGAATTATAACATTATTCCAAAAAAAGTAATCTAGCTGGAAATTCAAAATAAAGATGAACAACAGGCCATCTTCCAATCCACATAGACAGTCACTGTAGCTCATTCGGTAGAGCACTCGCTCTATGATTGGAAAGTTGTGGATTGGAACTGCGAATGGCCAAACGCTTGGCACTTTGAACTGAAAGGTCCTTTGGATGAAACATTAAAAAATTAGGCCCCATGTCATGACAGGTTTTGGCATGATAAAGATCCCTCACTGCTTAATGGTCCTGAGTGCTGAGTAAAGGTCTAAATTTGAACCCCTTCAGTGGTATATAGTGACATTTCTATAATTCTTGAACAAGACTTAAAACAACATACATTCAATCAATCCAATCCACAAAAGTGTCATATTTTTTGGTTCAGTGATTTTTGTGGCAAAGATTTTCAAAAGATGCTATTAATTTTCTTTAATTTATAATTATCTCCAATTGAAAGAAGGTGTGGCCCTTTGTTTTAACAAACTTTAATCCCCTTTACCTAAATATATTTTGTGGCAAATTGGTTGAAATTGGCCATGGTTGTCTATAAGAAGTGAAAAATGTGAAAAGTTTACAGAAGACAAGACAGACAAAATGTGATCAGTTTAGCTCACCCAAGAGTGCAAAAACTAGTCCACCCAAGACCGTTTAACTGATGTTGGACTAAAAGGAAGCATTATCAAAATACATACATTTAACATGCAATTGATTTATATCCATTTACCTTGTACGTTTCTCTGATAAAGTTACAACTTGAGTGAGGTAATCAAAAAGTTCTCCTTGCTTGCATCTGAAAAAAAAAAAAAACTATAGCTGTCATAAGAGAGAAAAGCCTGCACATAAGGCCAACAATTTTTTTATTTCCTGTTTTATGGGAGCGCCAACCCTCATTTGGGCTAAAATGAAATAAAAATGAAGTCCCAACTTCAAGTTTTATTTTTATTTTTCCCGCCGATAGTTTATTTACAGTCACTGAAAAAATAAAAGAAATATAAACAAACTTTTCACACGCCTTTCAAAACGTGATTTGTCATTGACTGAGGTAAATATAATCATCCAATCACAGTTGACAGAACTATAGTGACCCTGTATTCGAAGCCTGAATAGCCTCTGCACAGCATGGCCCCAAAATGTCAGAATCGGAGGGTTTAATATATATTTTTGAAATAGTCATTATTAAAAGTGACATGTCAATGTCATATATTAGAAAAAAATATAAATTTCAGATTAACTTTTAATGAGAGATTGAATGAAGTAGACTAAACAGTAATTTTGATTAAATGTCATGTGGAGAGCCACGTGGAAATATTGAGGTACTGTCAACCCCTTGTTTTGAAAGGTATTAAGTATATGTATTATCTTTGACAATTTTTTCCAATACATTGAAATATGTCAAGACATAAAGATTTTTTTAAACTTAATTTTAAGCCAATAATGTTTTTTTTACAAGTAACAACAAAACAGAACACTGTAAAAATCATGATTGTCATGATTGAGGAAGTTCGAGTCACAACTTTCATTTGTTTTATGACAAATATAAAATTACCCTCCAAAATACCTATTTGATTGATACAAGACATAATTTCCTTTTTATCGTTTTAAGGAATTTTGCTTACTATATAACAAAAAAATGTACGTCAGTGTGTAAATATCAGCTGAATACCGTATATCCGTTTTTTTGGCGATGATCTATTTTTCGCATTTTTTGCGATCATTTTTAACTCACTAAAAATAAAACATGCAAAAATTAGCAACCTTACTCTCCATTCCAAAAACAGCACCTTTTTTAAAAAAATAATTTAAATCGTAAAAAGTAACTCATGCAAAATGAAAACTATACAAATCTACCCTTTTTTCGCAAAATTTGGAACCACTAGGGAAAAGCTTTGCTGTAAATGATACACCCATACCCAATATTATCTTAATTCAAGACCTTGTTTCATTTTATCTTTCAAAAGTTGTGGATTAGAACCAGTTTCAACAAATTTTGGAATTCTACAGTAGGCCCTAAACAGAGTATTGGCCTAGGCTATTTTACATGTATATACTATGGGAAAAATGTTTATTTTCTACAATTATGTTGAAAGTTTTAAGAAAAAAATAAGGATAAAATGAAATGAAATACAAGGTATACTACAGATCGAAGAAGTTTGAAAATGTTTTCAATTGAGAGAGGGGGGTACGTTTTATCCACCTATGTATATATTAATTTGAAAAATAATATTATACAAAAAATATATATTACAACTTTTCTTTTAATCATATCCCATGTGCACTTCTGTGAATTAATTTAGCTGATCAATTAAAAGTCTAACTGTATTCTTGCCATAACTTTGCCAGAGCTATTCCAAAATTCTCAGATCTTGTTATTTGCTGAATATCAAAAAATAAAAGATTCTGAAAAGTTTATGAGGGGTGTGACATAAGGTTACAATGCTCACCTAAGTCAATATGGCCCTGACATTCTTCATCATCAAAACTTTGATCATCTGTTCTAGCTCCACCCTACCCTCAGGTGTCATGTTTTGAACAAATTGAATCTAAACTATTTGAGGATGCTTCCATATTCATATGACTACTCATTGCTTTGCTGTTCTGGAGGACAGAATTTTAAAGATGTGTGCCTCCCTACCTGGGGGTGGGGTGGGGGGTCTTGATTTGAACAAAATTGAATCTAACACTACCTGAGGTTGCTTCCGTATCAATATGACTAATCATGGCTTTGTTATTCTTGAGAAGATTTTTAAAGATTTTTTCCCTATGTGTTCCTGTGTAAAACTTTGATTCCCCATTGTGGCCCTACCCCAACCCCAAGTGGTCAAGATTTGAACAAATTTGAATCTACACTTCCTGAGGATGCTTCTACATCAACATGACTAAACATGGCTTTGCTGTTCTTACAAAGAAGATTTTTCAAGATTTGATCCTCTCTATATTCCTATGTAAAACTTTGATCCCCTTTTGTGAATCCATCTTACCCCCAGGGGTCATGATTTGAAAAAAAAATTGATTCTACACTACCTGAGGAGGCTTCCAAATCAATATGACATCATGGATTTGCTGTTCTTAAGAAGAAGATTTTTGCCTTTATATTCCTATGTAAAATTGAATCAACACTATGTAATGAAGGTTTCACATAAGTTCAACTTTTTTGCTGAGTGGTTCTTGAGAAGAAGATTTTTAAAAGATGCCACCAAATTTTCACTAATTCTTAATAATCTCCCCTTGAAAGAGGGGAAGCCCTTCATTAGAACAAATTTAAATTTCCTCAATCTGAGGATCCTTTGTGGTAAGTTTGGTTGAAATTGGCCCAATGTTTCTTGAGAAGTCAAAAATGTGAAAAGTTTATATTAGACATACGGACAGATCAACAGCTGGTATTTTTCTCATATTTCAAAAAAAAATTAAAATCCAAGCAGTATGCATATCTCTGATATACAGCGCTGTGACAAAAGTATTTGCGATTTTTTTAAAAAATGGCAACGTCATCAATATGCACCTCGTTTGTTCAAAGGGAAATAACTTTTGAACGAGGCCGACTTATCCAGTGAAATTTTCAGAGAGTTATATCTATCGCTAGTAAGTGACATAGTTTATGCATTTCTGTCATCTGCATTCATGTAAAATCGTAAACAAGGATATCATTCATTATGGGCTGAAAATCAAAAGAATTGAAGAACAATGTACGAAAATTGATTGTTGAAATGAAGTTAGAAGGTAAAAAGACATCTGAAATTGAAAATTTATTAGGGATATCGGAATCTACAATCAGATCAATCTGGAAAAAGTATTTTTATATGGGGGAGATAAACAAAGCGAAAAAAAGAGGACTCCTTGCAAGATGTCACAGCAGGATCAGAACTGGCTCGTTCGTCACACAAAAATGAACAGGGAACATGTTTTAAATGACATTACGAATGAGTTTAACAGAAGAAGGGATGTAAATGATCATGTACATCCACGGACAGTGCAAAGATTTTTACATGAACATGATGTGAAGAGACGAGTGGTGAGAAAAAAGATGGTTGTGTCACAGGTCAACAGAAGAAAGCATATGTCATGGTGTCCCGAGAAGAGAAAATTAATGGAACTCAGTTATCTTCGACGATGAAAGTCAGATCGTTCTGGGTGAAAATCACAGAGTATACGTTTGGAGAACATCAAAAGAAGCGTACCTTCCCCAATGCATGTGTGCCCCCTCCACAGAGAAGGGTGTCTATTATGGTGTGGGGTTGTATTACATATTATGGAGTTGGAACCCTTTGCCTTGTCAATGGTAATATAAATGCAGAAAAATATATTACAATTTTAGAAAACCATTTATGGCCTGTAATTGCTCGGCATTTTAGGAATAAACCGTACCGTTTTCAAGATGATAATGCCCCCGTACACAGAGCCCATATTACAAGGGACTACAAACTGGAAAATAACATTCCAACTATTGTGTGGCCGGCACAGTCCCCAGACATCAATATTATTGAAAACTTGTCCGAATCAAACGAACTCGACAAAATGGGCAACAACGTTATGACACCCAAGGAGCTCTTCCCCGTTGTTTCGGACATATGGACTTTATTTGATCATAACTACATAAGAATTCTGTATGATTCCATACCACGCCGTATATTGGCTGTCATTAAATCTAAGGGACACCTCACCAAATATTAAGTAAGTTAAATCAAAATTTAATTATATATTTTAGATGTTTGATCCTTGAAGCGCGTCCTTGTTTACAGCCACCATTTTAAAAAAATCATGAATACTTTTGTCATAGTGCTGTATGTACAATAGAATAGAGCTGCAAAATAAAAAAGTTCCTAAGGAATTCTGAAAACTGTAGGAGGACTTATCTGGACAAATGGGGAACCCTGCATGCAATATTTTGCAAAAATATGACTAAGTTCAATAGCAGGTATCTCTCTCTCTCATAAATTACTAAAAAAAATATCCAAGCATTATCCACATCTCTAATATATGTACAATAGATCTGCAAAGCAAAAAAGTTCCTATCTTGGAAACTGTGTGTTAACCGAACAAATGAAGTACCCTTTTGGCAGCTACTACCCACCTGCCAATTTTCATCACTTCAAGAGCTAGATTTTTCCTATGGAAAATCCAATAAAATCTCTTGGATAATTCTGTAATTTAAATGACAATTCAATTACGCTTTTTACAGTGATTAATTATCAAATATGAATTACAAAGGGGAATGAAAGAAAAAGTGAGCAAGTTCACATACCCCATGCTTCCCCAAAACTTGACAATGCAACACATAATGAATGGCATGGTGCACTTAAAATACACAGTATAATTCAAAAAGGAGCATTACTTGCAAAAAATCCTCACATCAAAACTTCTTGCATATAAGGACATTCAAATCTTATGAGATTATTTAAGGTGAAGCACTAATTTGAGGTGTGTGTGGGGGAGGGGGGAGCGGGAGAACTTTTTGTGTACTTCTATCCAAGATTTTTTTTGAACGTGTGTTGAATCTTTCATATTTTGATCTCAACATCAATAGGGGTCTTTACAGAGTTTCCGAAAACCAAATATTTCTATCAGTCATTCGGACTGATGACTTAATGTGTTCTACCAGTTGGAAGCAAATTCTATCAGTCCGAATAAATTTTAGTATATTTCATGATGTAATTCAAAAGAAAATGGCATTGGTTTATAGTACCGGTACTCAAATTGAGTTTGTAAATCTTTCCGCAGATCATTACAACACCGATTGTGAGACGAGTATGCAATTAAAAAGTTTAAGCACTAGCCCACGGGCTAGTGGCAGCA